AGAGCATAGAATACATGTTCTCAGCTTCATGCTATAAAAATGTCACTCCACTATTTTTTTATTCAGAAAAAGAAAAGTCCAATTAAAAAGCACAAGCATGCTAACATAGGTCCGTAGAAAGGAAGCAATTGGTTTGTAAAATGGATCTGGTCAGGTCTTGGTACTTGGCCAAAAAGCCAAGTGCCTTCACTTGTTTAATTTGGTGTTATAAACAAAGTCCAGCTGCAAGAATCTGGCCTTACCTTGACAGGGATGGCAGAAGGCACCTGTGACACTAAGGTCACCATCATTTGGACAGTACTGTCAGGCACGTGGTGGATAGAGCTGTGAAGGGCCAGAAGCTGCATTCAGTGATCCTTGTGGGTCCCTTCCAGCTCAGCATGTTCTGTGATTTTGTGATCCTACTGAAACTCTTGAGAGCATTAAAAACATGATTTTTTTTTTCCTTGTGCAGAACAAATGTTAGTTTTGATCCTAGAAACAGCAATTGCTTTGGCTGAAACCTCTCTGTTTAAACAGACACCTAAATAAGAACATCATGAGGAATGTCCTTCATTGGTAACAATAATCTCACCATCCGTAGCCCTTTTTTATCCTTGAGATATCTGAAGCTTTACAGTAAATTAGGGTGGTTTTTTCCATCTGATTTTATTTTTAAGATCTCAGAATTTAATTATGTTGAAACAGGAAGAATGCTTCTTTTAAGTGATGTCAGAATTTCTTTCTTGAGCTGTTTCATGGGAAGAATTTTTACTTCTTTTTCTCTGTTTACCCTGAAGGTTCATGAAGCCAATGTAAACAGCAAAATGAGTGTAAACACCAGGGATTAACTTTAGAAGATTTGAAAGCAACAGTGTTTGCCTTAATAAAATCAAGCAAATTGTTAAGCAGCAGGGTTTGCCTTAATAAAATTAAGCAGATAGTTTAGTATTTCTATATATCTCTGTATATAGTTTAGAGGTTCTAAAGAAGTATGTTCTCCTTATTAAACATTCATGTGAGCTTTTTGAGGATTTCCTCAAAGAATCAAGGATAGCATTATGTTGGTGTTAAGCTAATTTTTTATTAACTTCAGGGAGAGGACAATTGGGTTACTCCATTAAATGTGCAGACACTCACTGTATTCTCTGTACTGCAATACAGCAAGATTTTTAGACAATACAATACTCTTAAAGGCTTGTTATGTCTTATTTGTGAGCTGTGTTTTGACTCTAACTGCCTCCTCTTCCTGCTTATTGTGGATGTCCTCTGCTTCCTCTGAGTATCCTGTAATATTACTGGGGAAATTTCCATGATCCTACAACTCCCAGTCATAATTACTTTTAAAAAACAAGGAGGGAAAAAAGAAGAATGTCACTCTGCAAAAAAAAAGAAAAGTTATCTATTATCTTGCCCTAATCAATGCAGAACAAATAATTTTGCTTTCTAACAAGCAAAACATAGATGAGAACATGCAGATAATGGCTATTGAATAAAAGTTTAGGAAGAAAGTTACACAGTTTTAAGAGATTCCAATGTGGCCAATGTGATGAGAGCCTCATAAAGCCAAAATACTCTCAGAATGCCTAAAAGTGTCTGCTTGTCGTTTCCAGGCTGAACAAAATCAAGGAGGGATTTTAAAAAACTCAGTGCAGGTGTAAACGAATTACTGATTGCGTAGGTATAACTGAAATCTCACCGGGATTTACAAGAAGCAGTGGGAGTGTCGGTGCTGGATGGAGTTCACGGAAGACCCCTTGTCTCTGCTGCCCTGGGCTGCCGTGTCTTCCCTTCAGCACCGCACCAATCCAGGCTAGCCAGGTAAATACACACCTGGCACCCGAACAGCGATCCCAGGAGAAACAATGAAAAGCAGGGTTGATTCAAACAACAGCAACTAACAGTATGCATCTTGCATCTTCCCAGACTAACTGGGTGCGTCTTTAGGCTGCTGCCACCTTTGTGTTTGCCTGCGGCCGTGCAGCGAGAAGCCCGGCACCAGCAGACGTGCGGGTAAAACTGAGGTTACACGCAGGGACCCGGGGCAGTGAAGGCTCCGCACAGAGCAGATGGTGGGCTGGCCGCGGGCATCCCCGTTCCCCGGACAGCCCAAGGCTCGGTGTTCCCAGTGCGCTGCGCAGGAGGGATCGAGGCAGGGATCCTCCCCTCTAGGGGACCCCGACACCTCTGCCCGCGGGGCCGCAGGACTACAGCTCCCAGCGAGCCTTGCGCCGCCTCCATCTTCCCCGCACAAACAGCGCCTTGTTGAAATTAAACCTGTCCTCGAACGAAACTTCCTCAGCGTGTGCTTTGAGCCTGCAGGGAGGCGCGCAGCTGAAATAGATCTTCGAATTAGCTGAATTAGCTCTCATGATCTCGTTGGGTTCACGTTGGCAAGAGGCCGAAGTCTCCACTCCCGGGCTGCTCTGTCTCCCGGAGGAGCTGTAAATCTGCTTTTCTTTCCCATAGGCGATGTAGTGTCCTGGGAATGTCCTCAGAATATGCGGTGGGTCAGCTCATCTCCTGCTTCAGCAACATTCAACAAACCCGGCCGCTGGCCTCTCCCACCACCCACCCCCCTTCACTGTTCTCAGTGTCTGGGACGATGCTCCTGAAGATGCTGCCTGGCATTGCTCTGCTGCCTGGGGTTTCTCCTGGCTGTCGCCTTGCTGCCTAGGAGTGAGGAGCTGTAGTTCAAGCTTTGCTAAATCTCGTATATCTATACCCGGCCTTTTGTTCATGTGCTGTACATGGCAGGAGCAACTCATGACAGGTGCTACGTGGGCAGTATGTACATACACAAACACCATTTTCCAAGTGGCTATTGCTCTATAGTTTTGATTTTGGGCAGCCATTTGGCAGTCTTCACTATGAGAACTCAGCATCTTTCCAAAGTCCATATTCTGTATTTTGTCTAGAAGTAGCACTATCACAGGTTTTTCATAAACACACCAGCATTTCTCTTCTCCTGTCTCCTTTTGGGTGAATCTTAGTTAAGCACAGCTCATATACAGGATTTTGAAAGCCTTGGTAGAGGAGGAGCCTTGGTAGGAGATCTGGCAAGGCCAGGGATCTGCAGGCAAGGATTATCTACAGCAAAGGTGGCTCAGGGAGATAAGGATGGATGTACATGTGCATCTATCCAAGTGTGGCAGCAGGGAGAGAGTAGACAGGGCAACAACAGGATCTCAAATGCTATGACAGAGAGCTGTATATAAGTATTAGGAGACTCAAGTAAAAAGAAATTTGAGTAAAAATATTTGAGGAGTAGATTGGGGGGCAGCCATAAAAGGGGGCTGGGATGAACTAGGAGAAGCTGAGACAAACAAGAAGTAGAGTCTGCAAGTGGACACCAGTGGGGAGGAAGGGACAGGAGGAATCTAGAAGGCAGTGTGGAAATACATAAACTGTTTATGCAGAAGTGGTGTGAGGCTCCTCCTGTGTGGGTACTCTTAACACCAAGTTGGAGGCAGGGACACAAGCACAAGTTGGTGATTCTCTTCCCCTTGTTTTGTTTTGTTGTTGTTGCTGTTTTTCTCCCACTTTTAAAGCATGGTAGTCCCTTGAAAGCAGCTTTGTTCTGCAAATGTCCAACACCATTTTCTTTATCTTAAAAAAAAAAAAAAAAAAAGTAACTTAAGTAACACTTCCTGCAATTGACATTGTGTCCATGCACTTTTGGAGCCCGTTTCCTAACTTTGGCATCAGTGGGCTCTGAACAATTTCAGGAATGCTTCCTCAATTTCTCTCCCTCTATTCCTCTATTCCATCAACTGGCTTCTCTCACCCCACCAAGTCTTAGCAGTAGGTTTACAGGCTTTTCCTACCATTCCCACTATAAAAATATGTATGTTTTGATTCAAAAGAAACTGAGTTTCCAGTCCATTCTATCCCAAGGAAAAGTCACCTTCTCAAAATTCTATTTTCTCTATCACTTTTTACCTTCAGAAACTTACTGATAAATTACTAGAACTCCATGTTCTTTCCCACGGCATTCCTTACATCTTCCAGCTCTGCTATCAGCCTCAGTGACTGGAAAAAAGATAATGAGGATTTAAAATCTTCTTCCCAAGAGCACCAAACTCGTGTATGCTCAGTTGCACAGTGTAGAGTCATCCATCTCCTGAACAGCTTCCACAGAAAAACAACTTCAGAAATGCTAAGCAATCACAAATTAACTGGTCTTTCCACAAGACTGGCTAAGCCCAGGCCTCCCAGTCCTGTTATAGTCTTGTGTAAATCATAAATCCAGAACTGGCATAAAAACTGCGACAGCCTGAGGGAGCATCTAATAACATCATGTGGGAAACTGCAACATTCTCCTGGCTGAACCCCATGAGGTCCCTTCCAGGCGTCAGTCAGCATAACTGGCAAGAAAGCTGTGTATTGATTTTGATTATCTGCACTATATGTGTGCTTGTAGAATCAAATCAAACAGCGGATTGAATTTCTAGTCCAAACACCCTATGTATTTCTGGTTTTATTTTCCTTAAGGAAGGCTAAAAGAACAACGGAGAGCAAAACAATCTTTGCGGGAGGTTACAATGTACACAAAGCTATCTTGGGAGTAGGGGCGCTTAAGAGAACACAGGAAAGAGGGTGAGGAATGGGAATGTCTGCTGATGCTTAGGGGAAGCAGGAGCAGAGAGAAGGGCAGCTGTTGTTCTCGGGGTGCGCTTAACCGCTGGGCTGGCTGGCACAGGCCCAGCGCACAGCCCGGCTCCCACGGCGCCGAGGCACGGCGGGAGCTGCCGCCTCCTCCAGGGACTCCCCCGGCCCGGGGCAGGCGGCCGCCCCTCCGCCCGGCGGGACGCGAACCCCGCGCCGCCGCCGCCCCTCCCGCCGCCGGCTCCCGCACCCCGCGTGACCGGCGGGGCGGGCACGGGCGGGCGGCCCGGCCCGCAGCGCCCGGGGCCGAACGCCGCTCCCCCGCGGAGGGCAGAGAAAGCCGGGCGCTGCATCCCCGCTCCGTCCCGGCCGCCCACCCCCGCCGCAGCAGCCGGGGGCGGGGCGGGGCCGGGCCGTCCGCGGCGCCTCCCCGCGGGAGCGGGCGGGGCTCCTCTCCTTTGCGCCATGATGAACAAATGACCTCGCGGGGAATGAAATTTAAGTTCCACCGGGGAGAGAGAGTTCTCTGCTTCGAGCCCGACCCCACCAAAGCCAAAGTGCTCTATGATGCCAAGGTGACCGGCCGCGCGCGCTCCTGCCTCCCCCTCCCGCGTCCCCGCGGGCGGGAGGGCGCGGGGCGGGGCCGGCGCGGGCCCGCCCGCTCCCGTTACGGCCGCTGCGCTCCCGTTACCGCTCCCGCCGGGCGCGCCCCCGGGCGGGAGGCGGCGCGGGAAGCGCTGCGGGCCCGGCCGGGAGGCGGCTCCGCCGGCAGCTGCACTTGTTGCGGGAAACCGGCGCCGACCCAGGGAGGGGGGAGCAGGCGGGGCCGCCGCGGGACGGGGAGACGAAGCGAGGCGGTGCCGTCCCCGCCGGGCCTGGCCTCCCTCGGTTGTTGCTCCCCGCGGGCGGCGCAGGCCGGTGCCGCGCTGGGGCTGGGCTCTCCCCGCGGCACGGAGCCCCGCGGGTGAGGGTGCGTGTGGCGGCTGTTAGCGAGCCTCCGGGCCGTGCCCGCGCCGGCAGCGGAGGGACGGGGCCTGCCTGTCGCGGCAGGTAGACGGCGAGCGGCTCTGCTAGTGCCGGACGCGCCTGCCGCCTCCCGTGCTCGGCCGAGCACCTGCACGGTGCCTCCGGAGTCTTGCTGCCACCCTGCCGTTTGGTAGCGTAGCTGGAGTCATTTCCCCTCACGCTTTCCCACGCTTACTGCCCGCCCGTCTGCGTTTCAGAAAGGTGTAAGTGGTACCGCTGGTGAAGGAGAATATACGGAAATAAGATAGTAAACCGTGTGCGGTGGGCCACAGGTCTGCAGTAAGAGGTGACAACCTCAATTAGGGCCTAACCTTAAGAGTAGTGAGAGTAATGAGAGAGCTTTATGTAAATAGTGTCGTTTTAGGGTGTCAGTGGTGCACAAGATTATTTTTCAATCCTAAATCATCTGTGTCTGACTTAGAAATGGAGTTCTGGGTTTTTTTTTTTGTTACAGCAAGGGATAAAAAAGGAAGTGTTGTAACTGGGTTGTTGATGAAATTAGTACTTTTTGCTGCACGTTTGCTATGTGTGTTTCTCAAATATCTTTGATTAGGAATGCCGCTGTCCTGTAATATTTTGGGCTGCCCTTTTCTTTCTACATTTTCTTCTATACCCAAGAAACCGGGCAGCTCTGGTTACTATCCCTGTAAAACTATCAACTGAGTACGAAAACGCATAGTACGTTTTCTTCTTTACTGTCAAGTACCCTAAACAACATAACTGTCTGCGAATCCATCAATAGTTTTAAAATTCTGGACACCCAAATGAAAACATCACTGTAGCCTAAGTACTACTAATGATGTATTGAAAGCCACTCAAGTGCAGGCACCACATCTTTTTCCTCTGAGGTGCAGGCCCTTTCAGATTGGTCATTGCACATTTGTGAAAATGGAAGAAAGAAAGGGTTGAGATATTCCCAAAGCCTCTTAATGTTTTGTGTCTGAGAGTATGTGGTGTTCAACAGAGCAATATTTCTGAGGTTTATGTATAGAGAACTGTGTTTCCTGCGTAGGGGGCTTGAGGAGACCAAGAAGGCGAAGTAGCCAAATCTGCATATCCATACCATGCTACTGTGCTGTTTGATGTCTCCCTTTGTCTGTCTTGAACGCATGACACCTTTGAGGATAGAACAAAGATTGTGATCAGTCTGCAATGTTAAGAGTAGCTAACAAGAAAGCTAGGTTCTTTAATCATATAATCCTTATCTTCTGTTCATGTCAATATTAACTGGCAAAATATCAAGCCTTTTCTTTTCTTTCTTTCTTTGTACATGAACTTTCTAAATACCCAAAGGCTTACTTTCTCTCAAGGTTTTTAATATGTACTATTCAATATTTGTTTCAGATTGTTGATATTGTTGTTGGAAAAGATGACAAAGGCAGAAAGATTCCAGAATATCTGATCCATTTTAACGGTTGGAACAGAAGGTAAGAACCTACATGTGTCATTTCAGTTCTTCCATTTCTTCTGTTTTATTCTGCAAAGACAGGCTTTGCACAGACTATCAAAGGACCAATGTTTGCAGGAGTATTTTTATTTTTGTGAATGCCTTTAATATACATGCTCATGTTGACATTGGTCTGTATCCACATTTCAGTGAATCAGTTTGATAGACATGAGTTTAAACCTTATGAGACCTCTGTCTTTGGCGTATACTTATGGCACCTAAGATTCCATTAATAGAAGTTTAGGCTTTGTTAAACCTAGCCCTGGATTTTTTGGTTATCAAGGCCAGTACGTGAGAGCAGTGTCTTGACTTAGATTGATGTGTCAATGCTAGAAATACAGTTTCAGGTTAAGTCAAGGCTTGAGGAATTTTAGATGGCAATGTGAGAGCTGAAGCCATGTGAACAGAGAAGAGTGCAAACCTTGTGATGCAGATGTTGCTTCTGAATGACAGTAAACAAGTCCTTTGTAGATTTAAAGTATGTTAATTCATTGGCAATTCAAAGTAATTTTTATTTTCTTTTGACCTGTCCTTAGCTGGGATAGATGGGCAGCTGAAGATCATGTTCTTCGAGATACAGACGAAAACCGCAGATTACAGCGTAAATTGGCACGGAAGGCTGTGGCTCGCATGTAAGAAATCCTTTTGGCCTCAAAATAAATGAGATTCATTTTCAGATTCAGACAAATACATCCAGGTGTCTGCAACTGAGCTTGGTGTCTGAGCACATGCTGTAGGTGGTAGATATGTACATAATACAGTCAGTGCATTCTAGAGAGCTACTCTAAGCTAGAGACCTGTGGACTGTTATTAACACTCTAAAAGACTAACAACTCAGTTATTCTTAACTACTGCTGTAAAATGCCTATGTACTGGATCTGCATCTTCCCAAAGAAATGTACTTGCAAAATACTTTAGGAAAACTTGAAGTATTTTGAGCCAAAGGCAATAATCTAATATTACTTGGCCATGGCTAGAGGATCTGCTTGAGAACATGAATGTGAGGTTATGCACAGACATTAGGGTATCCACTCTCAAATAAGCATTGTCCAAATGTTTTCAGCTTTAATTAATGAAAACAGTGCAAACATACATTTCCCATGCATTTGCATATAATATAATTAGTTAGGATAAACAAATGAAATAATTACCCAAATGTCAGTGAACCATTTTATGTTCTGTAGGAGAAGAAAGGGAAGAAAGAAGAGACGCTGCAGGTTGCCTGGTGTTGACTCTGTATTAAAAAGCCTTCCTGCTGAAGAAAATGATGAGAGTAGCGAAAACTGTGAGCTTGTTTTCATCCTTTGGTAACTGGTGGGATGCCTTGACCAGGGGATAAGTGCATAGTGTCACTTGCCATGAGAGTATTATGGTCTTATCTGGAATATACAAAGGCAGTCATATGAAAAGGGAGAACTATGTATCATGCTAAGCATCTGTTAAGTTGGAGTATCTGTTTTCTTCTTGTATTGTAGAGGCTTCTCCTTGCATCTCTTCTACTCAACTGTTCTAATCAGCAATTTCAGAGCTTAATGCTGTTTTCCTTAAAACAGCATTAATAGGTGTGAGAAGCCCTCAGTTTTCTTTGTTTGATGTTAGGAAACACAACATTTCCCTCCTAGTGTTTGTGGTTTTTTTGAGGGCAGCAAGATTTTTTTTTTCCCAGTCTACCTCACACAAAAGTCTGTTTCATGTCAGCTGACTGCCTGATTTCACTTTCAAGCCAGATTTTTAATTTCCTGCATTTTTCTTTGTGACTAGAAAGCCAGTAGGAACATTGGCTGGCACTTAACTGATGCTCTGGGAACTGCTGCTGCACAGATTCATGCCTTTTGATTGAATGATTATTGCATTAATTCCCTGTGCAGAAGTAAAGTCCAGTGAAAATGTGGGTGCTCAGGAGACTTTTAAAAGTGAGTGTTTTTCAATTGCACAGGAGGCAAAAATACTTCTTATAAACTCATCTGACATGTTTAAAACATTTATGGTGGGCTGTAAATAATGCATGTTTAATTAAATTAGAATTACTCATCCTCATTAAATATAACAAGATTATTGAGGTTTTGTAGTGAGTTGGGTTTTTTGTTTTTTTGGGATTTTTTTGCATTGAGGCCTCAAACTAATTTGTCTTAACCTCTGAAATGTAATAATAAATATGTGAAATCTCTTTTATGCAGCTATAAGTAGTTCTTCTTCTGATGACAGTGATGAAGGAACAGATGAAGAAATAAAAAGTGAAGAAAGTGACATAGATGAGAGGACAGAAATGGTATTTTTGTGTGTTCCTTAAGTTACTAGAATTTAAACATCTGCACTTGAAACTCTGGAAAAATTGTAGTAGATGAAATGTAGACCACAACTGATAATTTAGCTGGAATTAAAGGCATAATTTTCTTATTCCTGGTGCTTACATTTTTTAATAGAAGTATATGATACAATGCTAAAAATACCTATTTGTTTCTTTTCCTCTCATTCTACACAGAAGGTTTATGTAGAGAAGATGTAGCAAACTAGATTTTCCACTCTTGTGGGTGCTGTAAAAAATTGATTGTCTGTGCAGGTTGGACAAACCCTAATAGCAGCAGTATGTTTGTCGTGTATTTTACTGTGAGACAGGCATGTCAACCCTGGTCTTAAATTAAAATGTAGAGAGGACTGTTTCCAAGAAAAAAACTGTGTATTTTCTACAGTAAACAGTCAATCTGAAGATATGTAGAATTTAACTACTACATTGTGGGTGATCTGAGGCAGCAACACCTAACATTTCTGAATAAATACCTAACACTAAATTTAAAGAAAAAAGTTTAAAAAAATGAATTTGTGGATGTTTTCAAGAGCAGTATTGTTAAATAGTTTACATTATGGCTATTATCCACTTGTAATTTTACTACTGAAGTTATTTTTTCACAGCTAATATATTGTTTTCTTTCACTGATCTGTTGTAGAAAGAAGAACAAGACACTCATACAAAAAGGGACATGGAAGAAAGAGCAATAAGCATAGAAATTCCTGAAGTCTTGAAAAAGAAGCTTGAGGAAGACTGCTACTATATTAATAGAAGAAAAAGGGTATAAAATAAGAGTTGGGACTCTAATGTGCATATGGTGTGAGAAGAGTGTCAAAAATAGTTTTTGTTTCTACAACTCCTGGAGGTTTTTAACTTCACCTTTTTAGCTTCATGTTGAGCTCAGACAGGGCAAGGTAGAATACAAAGAGTGTAGGAAGTAGGCTTCTCTGTAGCTATAACAGTGGTTTGTCATATTTAACAGCATAGTATTCTGGTTCCTGATTGTGCTTTAGAATGCAGATTGCTTTTGAAAGCTGGAAATGCAGCAGACTTGTTAATCTGACCATGTTTCTTGTTTCTCCTGATGTTGATAAAAAATGCAGTTTAAGGGTTGAAATTATTCAGCCTTGAATTTGCTTTCTGCATGAGATATTTAATTTATTTTTATTTAAATTAATTGGTACATTACAACTTATTGTTTATATAAGACATTAAATTTTTTTCTTTCTTTTCAGCTAGTGAAGCTTCCTTGCCAGACAAATATAATAACCATCTTGGAGTCATATGTAAAACACTTTGCAATTAATGCTGCCTTTTCAGCCAATGAAAGGTCTCGGCACCATCAGATGACTCCACATGCTAATATGAATCTTCATTATGTGCCACCAGAGAAGAAGTAAGTAATCTTTAGTCCACTGCTGTTGTCACAAGAAGAATGACCTTGCATTCTGTGTTCTGTTTTATGGCTGTTCATTTCTGTGAGCTTATGCCATAATGTATGTCTGTTTACGGGGCTCAAAGTATTTGACAGATAACTATAGCAGAGTAACACTGATAATTTGTTTATCAGAGAGAGTCCCAATCCTCTGAAAAGTCATTATGCAAAAGTATCAATATCCTGTTTTATCATCTAAGTTCTTATAAATATTGAGATCTGTTTGGAAGAATGTGTTGTCAATATGAAGAATTTCATATCTGATACACGAACACCATGCTTAGATGAACTTGAACAGGTTCAAGTTTTAAAAAGAATAAAAATTTTATGCAAACACTGATAAAAAATTTCAAGTGCAAGTTGTTTGTTTGTTTTAAATGGCTATATGATCTTAAATCCTAGAGTCAGTATGTAGGAAAACTGGTAACTCAACGAATCAAGATTTGTAATATGTCTTAGTCTGTTTTCTCATTCAAGCTGTGTGTTTTTCTACCATGTTACAAATGCATTGACAATGCATGTTTGCAGTGTGGTAGCTTTTGATTATTTAGATTTTTTTTTATCTTATGTTAAATATTTTTGATAGTAGTTGAGACTGCTTCTGTCTAAGTACAATAGGCAAAAATCTTGTTATTTTATCAAAGAGAAATACTGACTTGTGTTAGTGTTACAGTCAATGGTGTGTAATTATGCTATTCCTTGCAATATTTTAGCCTGAGTGTCTTTGTTTTATGTTAGTGTTATTCATTCTTTGACAGATTGACACTTTTCCTTCTTTGTAGTATAATCTTCCAAACAAAAGGTTAGATAAAATACCAGAAATATGAACAGAAGATTTTACCCACATGATTTTTACATGTTTATGTTTAAGTCACTTCCTCAATAAAAACAGTGCTTTAGTAAAAAAAAAATAATGGGTACAGTTTCAGTGATCATTAAGTAGGAGAGATTCAGCTGACATCTTCGTTGTATTTGCCTTACTGCTCTAACACTGAAGGTTATTGACCGTCTTAGATTTATAGAATTTCTGTACATGATGGTCCCCTGACCCAATTAATGTGCAGTAGTTTCAGTAGGTGGTATGAAATATTGGAGGTTTGGAATTTCAAACATGCATCATTATGGCAGAACCAAATTGTTACCATACACATACACACTTGAAACATGAGAGGGGAAGACCTTCACAAAGGTGAGAGGTATTGCAGATGTGCTACACTCTGTGTTCTTGGTTCTTGTAATAGCTTGCGTACTCATCACCTGACCTTCTAAGTCTTTCACACAGACCTGAAACTGAAATTCCTGGTAGCCTCCAAATGTCAGAGCAGACCATTGGAAACTGCTCTCGCATGCAAATTTATCTGGTTTTGTTGGTTCACTGGCTATCTCTTGAGCACAGCTTTAACTGCATCTTAGTGGCTATAGGTCAAATTCTGCTTATGTGTTTTAGACAGAAATTCAGTCTGTTTAGTACTTATTTTTTATGGCTGGTGTTTCTTTTTTCAGCACAGTGAACTTGGAAAACCAAAATAATGCCTACCTTAAAAACATCTGACTATTTACTCAACGGTAGATTTTATTAGTTTAGTGAATAGTGTAATACAACAGAGCAGTTGTATGATTTTGTTTGAAGTTACGAAGCAGACCTTTTAAAAAGACTTGTATTTCTGAAGTTAACAAGAGCAATCACAGTCTTTTAAAGTGTTTTTAATTGCTTATCATTACTTAGTGATTGAATCAGCATATTGTAGTTATGATGTTAATGGACTGTATTAAAGAGCAATTTTGTGCAACTATGCTGAAAAACAGTGCCATACAACTTTGAAATTCATAATTTTTTCCCCTCTAGTGTCGAGCTATGTAAAGAGATGGTGGATGGGCTGAGAATAACCTTTGACTTCACACTTCCCTTAATTTTGCTCTATCCTTATGAACAAGCTCAATTTAAGAAGGTGACTTCATCAAAATTCTTTCTTCCTATCAAGGAAAACTCAACAAATACTAACAGGTAGGTTAGATATAAGAAGTTTAATACTCCTTATCTGAGAAGGTAGGAGAATGTGGTATTTCTTTCATTTAGCTTTAATTTGAAGATAAGTATACTTCTGGAAGATTGTATCTAATAGTTATTTGGAGGAGGCTGTCTTATCTGATCAAGTGTTCAATAAGATCTGTGAAACTAGAATAATTTATTTTGTGGTGACACCCCTGACCTCTTCAATTCTATAAACCTGCCTTAATTTCCTAGAAATCAGGAGGAGCTTTCCCCGAGCCCTCCTCTGCTGAATCCACCCACACCTCAGTCGACTGACAGCCAGCCCACCACAGGGGAGCCGGCCACGCCGAAGAGGCGAAAAGCTGAGCCCGAAATCCTGCAGTCGCTGAGGCGCTCAACGCGCCACAGCTCCAACTGCGACAGGTTATCTGAGAGCAGCGCGTCCCCACAGCCCAAACGGCGGCACCTCGAGACCCCAGCTTCTATGCCAAAGCTCTTCTTACACCTGGAAAAAAGTAGGTTTTTCTTTTTACATTGTGGGTCTAAACAAAGAATAAAGTTCTGCTCTTCTTTTAGTGCTGTATGGACTGCAAACTCTGTGAAAGAAATGGGAAGTCATTGATGCAAAAAGTCATACTTTTTGTATCAGTTCTTTAACTCTGAGGCCTTATTACCAAAGAGAGAAATACAAATCAATATTGTTAGTACTTTGGTTTATTTTTCCACAGAATGCAATAAGCTGCTTTTCTGAGAGTCTATTTGAGGAAAACCTTTATTGAATTTTAGTGTTGCAGACTTCAAACATTTTAGCAGCAGGCCTTAGATGCATTTAATGGCTTATAGTTCCAAGTAGTAATTTACAAGTAGTAAAATGTTTATTACTTCTTTTGTTTTTCCTTTTGTTTTGAAGAAACCCCTGTCCATAGTGGGTCGTCTTCACCTATAACTTTGACTCCTAGCAAGGAAGGGAGCACGGTGTTTACTGGCTTTGAAGGTAGAAGAAACAACGAATTGAATGAGGTAACAGATTTTGATGTTACTGTCCTACATTCAAGGATTAAAAGTTTTGTGGGCCTCAGAGCAGGGCTATGTAAGAAAAGATTTTGTTGGTATTACTTATTTAATAGTTGAATTTGAAGTTCTGTACAGACTAAATTATTTATTATGTTACAAAGTTTTCATAACCAGTATTTTCATATTTTATCTGTAGGTTTTGTCCTGGAAATTGATGCCAGAGAATTATCCACCAAGTGATCAACCACCACCTCCCTCATATATCTATGGATCTCAACATTTGCTGAGGATGTTTGGTAAACTAATGCAAAATTCTCTGCTCAGTCAAACTTGCTTTATATTTCTTTTCCAGTCCTGATATCTGTGTGATTTTTCTGTTTGCTTTATTAAATCTATTTTTATTCTTGGAGGAATGTACATTTTAATCTATTTGGAACTTTTAGGCTATTCATAGATTTGGTTATCTTTTATTGGCTATGTAAGCCTTCATTGAAGAAAGGCAAAGCAGTGTTACTTCTAGTACACTATTATTTAACCTAGCAGCATTCACCTTATCAGCATGTTCCTATTTAGTAAGGCTTTGAAAGATCAAAAGTATCTTGCAAGGAAAAGTGGGGTCTGTGGTGAGAAGAAATTTTTATATTATTTTCTATATAGTGGATAAAAATAATTTGAAGATGCATGTATAAGAAGAGCTATAAACATTATTTCTTTTATTCACAGTAAAACTACCAGAAATACTGGGGAAGATGTGCTTTCCTGACAAAAACCTAAAGGCTTTAGTAAAACACTTCGAGATGTTTCTGAGGTAATATGACACAATGTACCACAGCAGTGTTTCTATTGTTACATAGATCTAAATGTCCTGGAATGGCAAAGGGGGTTTAAGATACTCATATTCTGTAACTACAAGATTATGATAAAATTGGTATACCATTTTAACATGAGCAATCTGAGGGAACCAAAATTTTCTACTCTGTATTTTGATAAACACATTAATATAGAACTGAAGTGTGAAAGTTTGTTGATATGTATAGAATGATGAGTCTGACTTGGTTAAGTAGCATGTTTTATGTAGAAATGCAAAGTCTGCATTGGTTTTTTTATCAATATTAGCATGGGAAGAAACTTGTGCTTTAAAACATGTTTTTAATTATGTTAATTTCTTACAAGAAATATCTGTCTTAACTGAGCTTTGAACAGAAAGGCTTCTCTGTGATGCAGTGCAGTGGTTTGTAGGATACACAGAGTCTGTCTGACCACACTAGCTTCACCACTGGAATCACTAAGGTCATACCTGCACCATGATCAGATTGGTTTATCAGGTACTGTAATGAGTATTTCTGCATGACATTGGGGATGTGGTTAGATATCTCATGTTGGCACTGTGTTGTCTGCGTCTGTACACTGGAAAATAAAATTTCCAAGGAAAACTTCAAGGAGAAGCTGTTGTGGATAGTAATGAACAGATATGGAAACTGTAACTTAATTTTGGTCAGTGACTTCAGTAGCCGCTTAGGGAAAAGTAACATAGTATTACACCAGCAAAAAAAAAAACTTGCACTAGAGAACTGGAAGATGAAAGCTTTAAATCGCTTTTACTTTAATTGCTTATTGAAAATAGAAGATGTTTCCAGTGTCAAAGTTTCTACAATACACAGTTTTTCTCTGGAATCAGTTATTTGTCAAGTTTTACTCATTCTATTTTGCATCTCTTTTGTCAGATCCTTGTTGGCATTCAAAATATGTTTAAATTAAACAGGACAGAATTAGAGCTCATTGTTGGAAGACTGTTTTTGCTTGAAGTAAATATTTCCTACGAAGCTTAACTCACTGTGGATCAGATCAGTTTTTATCATACTTTTGACTGTTCAGATTCTTCTGTGTTGATCAGAGCAGATTTCTGTTCTTTAGTGCCTTTAATACCATGTTTTCATATCCATTCTATGGATAATCTTTAATGGAGTAGAATAGATGAAAGGAGAAACATGTCCCCTACAGCCCATAAAATAAAGGTTGCTTATTGGGAGAGGGTTGCTTAAGGGAGCTGAAATTTCTAGTGCTCGTATCCGTATGTGTTTTACTTTTCCATCTGTGCATTTCATTGAAATGTATAGTCATCTATAAGTGGAAATAAAAATTATGTTTCCACATCAGCATTTTTAGGGGACACAGAACTGTGCTTTTGAAGCAAATCTCTCAGTAGTTCCCCCTTTCCATGGCTTTGTGTTGTGATGGAGAGTCCTCCAAATAAATACACAACCTGCATTTCTTTCAGAAAACACTTTACCGGAAGTATGCTTCAGTCTTTGAGGCCAGGCTATAATTAAACCAAAATGAGCCCCACAAGGCAAGCATAATGTGGATATCACATATCTGTTACAGCAAAATATTTGAAGGCTGTGTTTTTTCAAGCATGAAATTTCTTTTTTGACAGTGTCAAGAAAGCTTCAAAGTTACAGTTACTACTGTAGGAAGCATTTGATCTTAGCAGCTTTGTAATAAATACTTATCTTAGTTGCTTTCCTTGTCAGCTCTGCTACTGGGCAACAGAAACCAGTGCAAATTATTAGATACTCAACATTTATTCACATGGTGCTTTGAAAAGTTTTTCATTTGGGTATTTATTTCTTCATGCTGCTTGTTATTGAAAGTGGTCAAACAATTATTTTCTAGACACTTGGTTATGCTTGATTTTTATCTTTACTTGAAAGCTTTCAGGTACACAATATGGCGAAAAACACATGTGGTATAGTAATTCCACAATTTTTATAAAATCAGTCAATTAGTATAGTTACCACTTACTGTCCAATTAAAAGATTAGTTGGTTAGGTAATAATCCCTGGGGTCCTGCCCCACTGAAAGCAGAGGTTTCTTTTACCCACTTTTTTATGTCTGGTCCAGATTCTGGGGAAAACAGAATGTCTATGTAGTTGGTTCTCTTCTTGGAGTGAGACTAAACAGTATTTATAAGGTTAGCTTATCATTACTAAATTTAGGGAAGAAAGGTAGGAAAAATGCTAGAAACTACAGCCATGCTCTATCAATCTACAAAGCTATAAATGCATGAAAAATACAAAAAGCTAAAAATCTTTAGGCATCAGTAGTAGTTCTTCAATTTTCACATTGTCTTTTCGTTTTTGGGAATTAAAGGATTAATGGATGTTTATTATAAATATTTTATATCAGTTCTGTTCTAGCTTAACTTTTGAACAGTACGAACTTCCCTACAACATCTAC